ACTTAATTGGAATTTCAATATGGGCCTCACAAAAGTATAAACTGTTGTGTAGTGCAAATTTGTACAGCATGCAGTGTTTTAGTAATGTGCAGACCTCAAGATGTCTAATCATGAAAGTTGGATCTGAACTAAATTTGGTTCAATATGACGGAGATTCTGTTTAAAGTCGGCATGTATAAACAATACAATACAAAACAATATGTAATCCACACAATGAAAAAAAAACATTCACATTGCTTTGCTCTGTGTATTTATAATTTAAGATCACCAGTGAGACATTATTTATACTGAACAAAAATATAAACACAGCATGTAATATTTAGAATGGATGTCATGCAACTAGCGTGTAGTCAGTAATGAGTCACATGTCTACAACACACAGAGTAGCTGAGGTTTAAATACTGTTTGTGGAAGGTTTTGCTCTGCTTCCTGGAGGTCTTGGTGATACTGGCGGACATTTTGGGGGATCATGTTGTCCATCCAGAGCGTCCCACAGGTGTTGGATAAGTGACATGTCTGGAGGCCGTTTTCAGCTGTCATAGAAGGGCAGCACATATTCTGTTGACATGAAAACGCAATTTGTCTTGATGAAAAGTGATGGAGATGTACAACCAGGACAACAGTGGCTGTGAGGATTTCATCTCAAAATCATGGGACATTGTGAATGCCATTGATAAAATGCAGGTGTGTTCTTTGTCCATGATATATTCTTGCCCATACTATCAATCCAGTACAGTATGGGTAATCCATAGGCCACTGATTGCACGATGTTGACATCAGCATATCTGCCATCTGCTCTGTTCAGCTGAGAACGAGATTCATCAGCGAAAACGACTGTCGACCATCTTGTTAGCATCCAGTTAACGTGAGCTGTTGCCCTCTGGTGTCGAGTACGACAATGTTTCACTATTAGATCAAGACCCTGGTGTGGGTGACGAGACCAGATACCAGCTTCCTTCAGGTGATTCCTCACAGTTTGAGCAGACATTCTGTGATTGTGCACATCAACAACCTCATCAGCAGTCTGTGCAGACGATCGCAAACAATAGGCGCAGGTGGTGGCACGTGGTCTTCGGTCATGTTGCAGATTATCTGCTGTATCATTCTGTCTGAAATGATGACTTAGGCGACAAATGGTGGAGTTGTGGGCGTTTAGGGGCAATACTGTCATCTTTTGTCATCTGTGGGATTGTGTCATTTGAATGAAGGCCTCCGTTTATAGTCACCGCAAAGGAGTGTCTGTGTGCTGGTCATGCTGTCTGATGTTCGTCCTTTAAAGCTACACCTGAACAAGCTGTAGGTGACTGAATGGTCAAAACATTTATCACCAACTGAACAGCTCAAAAACATAGTTGTCTAAATTGCCACTCTTTCTATAAAGGACTATTTAATATTTTTACTTTTTGTCTAAGTCAGGCAGGAATACCATGTACATGTTGCATTTATGTTTTTGTTCACTGTAATTATAAATAAATATAAAGTTTATTGTTAAGCAGGAATAAATCATTTATTTTTGCTGCTCTCTTTGTCCAGGCTACATATTGTAATTAAAGTATTTCAGAAGCATTTAGAATTTAGAAGCACAACCTAAATTCATGTTTAAAATAAAAAATGCTGTTAGAACAATGGTTCCATGCTACCAGTACATCTACAAAAAGTTATGCTAGAAATTCTTAAAATAAGATCTACTCCTTCTCCTTCACTGAATATGAATATGTCCACATATATCCACAGTCGCTCACTGGACCAGAGTCAGCTTCCAAAACTGTTGTGATGTCATAAATCCTGCTTGCAGTTAAACACCTTAAACTCTGACTTTAGGTAAGCTCAGACAAACTTTTCATTTTCAAGAGAAGAAAGTGAAAACAACCTTCAACTGTCAAACTCAGAACATACATCCTTCTCTATAGTGAACTCCAAAATGCACAACAATGACCAGTGTAACTATTTGAGTGTAGCTGTACTTTAAAGTGTCTTTGATACATATATGTCCACTGAAATGCTATTAAAACATTTGTAGTATGTCCAAGCAAATGTCAAATTGACCAACTTTAATTTAACTTCCCTCTCCTTATCTGCAATCCACCATTTATTCAGATTTCTTTTTCTGCATATTGTTTTGTTTTGGACTAAATATCATGTGTCATTATGGCACTGGTCATTTGTGAAAGTTTGTCTGGACTTACTATTACGCTTGTTCATCAGAAGCCTCCCAGATATAGCTCTACCTCTATAGACTCATTCCAGTGTCTGAGACGCTGTCATCGCCAGCCCTGCAAAGCAGACGTCAGGCTGGGTCAGATGCCCCCTATTTCATTTCCAGCGCTGTGGTTGGCACTAGAAGACCAGAAGGAGCTGTTGACTAGCGTGCTTGACCTCCTCAAAACTCCTCTTTCGATTTATAACGCACTCTCGTACCCACAAACATGATATGCACATGTGTTCATTCACCTATCGCACTAATAGCAACGCCAGATGCACACACTTACAGAAATACACACACATACACACACACACACTTTGTAAATACTTGGCCTGGGATTTGGGAGGAGGTGAAAGCCAAAGGGGAGTCACTGACACAAGTTGCTACTGTGATTACCTCACGTCTGTAATGGGCGAGGAAGGAAACTCATCCTGTGTATATTTAGACAAAGGCGAGCTTCACAGGATCAGGAGCAGCTAATCAAAATGCTCATAAATATCGACTCCTTTTTACAGAAATACAATTATTGTGTTCCTCAATGTCTGAATAGGTTCTAAACCAATGAATTATATAGGAATCCTTCTCCCATTATGAACTATTTTTTTATTTATACTGATATCAGTTCTATATATTATTCAGCCAGCTGAACTCCATAATGGTTTGTCTGCATCATGCTGTTGTGACAATCAATACACTTTGTATTTATCACCGAACTGTCACGATGATTAAATTACCACTACGCAAGTGTCAATCACAAATCTCCTCAAAATGATTTTTTTTTTTGTGAAGAATGACGAGAGAGCAGATGTTGCTTTGCTGTGGCTGAATTCACAGTATCTTGTTACCACAGGGGGTCTCCTGCATTCATAGGTCAGGCCATTAATAACGATGGGAGGTTCCTCACTGTCAGCATTCATGCGCCCTGTCGGCTTTATGGCATGCGTCCCTCCCGGTGCATGCGCTCACTGTTAAGTACCGCACGCACGTCCATCGACATGTCTCAGTGTGTAGGTTTTAATGGACTGCAACACCAAAACACAAACATGGCAACAGAGTGCGCGGTGTGTTTTTAGATTGTGATGAAATAATCCAGTGAGATAATATCAATGATGTGCTCAGTTAAGTTGGTCTTCTTGCACGGATGAGAGAAAGCTACCACTAATTAAAGCTTAAAGACAGTTGCTGTAGATTGAAACTGGACAATGAATGCTAAATTCTCTCAATCTTTTCTTTTGCTGACTGATATATGAGAGTCACGTGTCAATTCCTCAGCTTGTTTGTTATTGTTTGTTCCCCTGGATACAGTCAAGGCCTGACACCACAGCTTGACCCAGACAGTCATTTGGTGAATGCTATATGCTAACACATTAACAGCAGGCGGCACAGTGTCCTGAAACTGATATTTGAAATCCAACCCTTTTGTTCAAGTAATAGAAAAGGTGAAAAAAATCACACTCTTCTGAGAAACTTTGCTTGTTAACCTGACAGCTAAAAGTTTTTTTTTTTGTTTTCTTTTTAATGGCACGTTAAGCCTGCAAAGGATTGCCCGCATCTAATGCAAACCGTCCAGCTCGGTTTTTAGTAACACTGATTAGCACCCCTGAGCTATTATTGTTGTGCTCTTGAATCTACAACTGCAGTGTGTGACATAACTGGTACAGCTTCATGAACGCAATGTAGGTGGAAAAAAAAAAAAAAAACAGAGCTATATTTAGATCACAATGCTGCAGTGCACATGTAAACCCAGAGTGTACACCTGGGACACACCCTCTAGACTTTTTATGATTTATTTCTCAGTATAAGAAGAAGGAAACTGTGAAAGACAATAGAGTGTTGTGATAAAACACTTTCTCTCTGATCCTGTCTACAGGGGCTTTGCAGGACCTAACAGGATCTGAAGCAGTTTTGTTTTTTTTTTTTTACACCTCTGTATATCAGTAACCCCTGAGGCCAGGTCACTTGTCTTCTGGGGCTCCCTGTGTTCCAAGTTGTACAATTAAGCCCTTTAAGTGCAAGGAATGATGAATGTTATTTTGGCTTCAGCTTCCTGAAGCCGCTATCCTCTCTGGCTACTCAAGTGTCAGTCAAGCCAGCAGTTTCCACTGGCTGGGTCCAGGAGGGCCCCTGGTTATACGAGGCTCCGAGCTTCAAAGCATTCAGATTATTTCATCTTATTTATTTCGAGGCACATCTAATATGTGAGCGGCAGAGAAAAATAAAGTCGCCGTGCTCAACATGGCACATCTATTTCTCACGTTTGTACTCCCGGTTTCTAAAATGGTGGGCTGCGACCCAAAGTAGCCACGGCTTGGGTCCTGGAGGTTCCCCCTTGTGACGAGAATAACCCCATGACATCATGGATAAAGGACCAACAGGGTGACACACTCCATTTCTGAGGGGACTCTGGGACTGGAAATCTACTGCTCTGAACGAGACAAGACTTGAGGACTTGGAAGAAAGGATATACTTTTAAAAAAGACGTTACCTGGCTATTCAGAGAGGTATTCCTTAAGCTACATGTTGATTTGGAAATCAGTGCACTGCTGCAGTGAAGTGACTGAGTATGAGAGGGACAGCAGCAGCAGCAGCAACAAGTGTCATCTGGTCTTCCAACTTGGGGAGGGCTTTGGAGTTTAAAATGGTGTGAATATGATAGCCTTCTCTAGCCAATGCTATAGCTTATGCAAGTGGAGATCTGTGTGCAGCATTGAAAGTTGACAGTTCAGAGTCACTAATCTGACAAAAAGGGCGGTGTAATAAAAACAACAACAACAGTACAAAGATTTTGGATATCAGCAGCAAACAGAACTGTTGGGGAGCTCAAAGAAAAGTGGGGACGTTGCCTGACTCTCGGACGGCTGCATGAGAAAGAGAGTTAGGAGGACGCACGGGCTAAAGAGAAAGAGGAAGGCACCAAGGAGGTGAGTTTTACCCTCAGAGGGGTAAAAAAAAAGATGACCGTGGTGTCCCAGGAGAACCACGAAGAGACTGTGGTCGTTAGTCCTCTGTTGCAAGATGCTGCAGACCTGGAGCCAGCGGACCAGGAGTGCAGCGAGAGGGTGGTCATCAACATCTCAGGTCTGCGCTTTGAGACGCAGTTAAAAACCCTCTCTCGCTTCCCCAACACGCTCCTGGGAGATCCGCGTAAAAGGATGCGTTTCTTTGACCCGCTGAGAAACGAGTACTTCTTTGACAGGAACAGGCAGAGCTTTGACGCCATCCTCTACTATTACCAGTCAGGAGGGAGGCTCCGGAGGCCCGTGAGCGTACCTGTGGATATTTTTCTGGAAGAAATAAAGTTTTATGAACTCCAGGAGGACGCCATAGAGCTTTTCCGAGACGATGAGGGTTTGGCGAGGGAGGAAGACCGCCCGCTGCCCACTAACGAGTTCCAGCGCCAATTATGGCTTCTGTTTGAGTATCCGGAGAGCTCAGGACCTGCTCGGAGTATCGCCATCGTGTCCGTGATGGTTATTTTGATTTCCATCGTTATCTTCTGTTTGGAGACTTTACCAGAGTTCAGAGAAGTCCCCCCAGCGCCAGAGAATAATGGAAGCGCGCACGGCAAAGCGCTCAATCCGTTCACAGATCCCTTCTTCATGGTGGAGACACTCTGCATCGTGTGGTTCTCCTTCGAGTTCACCATGAGGTTTCTGTCGTGTCCCAGCAAAGCAGCTTTCTTCAAAAACATCATGAACCTGATCGACGTGGTGGCCATAGCTCCATATTTCATCACTCTGGGCCTGGATCTCGCAGAGCATCAGGGCAGCAGTCAGCAGGCTGCGTCTTTGGCCATCCTCAGGGTCATCCGTCTGGTTCGCGTTTTCAGGATTTTTAAGCTCTCCAGACACTCCAAAGGTCTGCAGATTCTCGGCCAGACGCTTCACGCAAGCCTCAGGGAGCTGGGATTGCTCATATTCTTCCTGATCATTGGAGTTGTGTTATTCTCCAGTTCAGTTTACTTTGCTGAAGCAGAAGACCCCGAATCTGTATTTTCAAGTATACCTGATGCGTTCTGGTGGGCTGTGGTGACGATGACCACAGTTGGTTACGGAGACATGTTTCCCACCACCATCGGGGGCAAATTCGTGGGATCTCTGTGCGCAATCGCCGGAGTGCTAACCATAGCTTTACCTGTTCCTGTGATCGTGTCCAATTTCAATTATTTCTACCACAGAGAGAATGAAGAGGAGGAAAACGTTCAGTACGTACACGTGACCTGCGGGCAGCAGCCGCAGCTCTCATTTGGTGACAGTGACTCCACCGCAAGTAACCAGTCGGTCACCAAAACTGAATCCTATCAAGACAGCGACGACTTAGAAACTCTGACATGTTTAAACGTGACTCCAGTGGAGACATACACGGGAAAACTGACAGATGTGTAAAGATTTGGTTTCTGGTGAGTTGTGTTCCAGGGGAGGAGCCCTTTAGACTCCTGTTTGTCTGATGCTGCAGGTGTTTTACGCACTTTGTCTCCAGTGTTTCTTTTGGAAAGTGGAGCCTCAGAGATTCACGCGACAACCCACACTAAAATAAGGAATGGCTCAGTGTAATTTAATTAGATGATAAGGGAAAATCATTCCTCCCACTGCTGGAACTTCACACATTTCTACACAAGGGGGATAATAGGAAAAAAAAATCAGCGAGTGTGGAGTGGACTAAATACCATCAGCAGTAACTGAACTAGAACACACTCTTCCATTTAGAAAGAAAAACTGTAATAAACCAGCTAAAATTAATTTGGAGATGTGTTTTGTCTCCACACTTGTCTTATACATACATTTTTTAAAAAAAGTTAAAGGGGAGTTTTACGTGTTTACGCACAAGAAATGGCACCACAACGCACAACTTGTTTGGATAAGGACGCATCCATAACGCACATGGGAACATGATTTCCACACTAAGGCGCACAGCAAAACACCGACACAGACATAAACTAATACTTGTTCTGTCACGTTAGAGCATGGATTCATGCGGACCATTTGTGTGTCAGTGTGTGTGGGTGTTCGTGCGCTGCAGTGTGACTACCTGGAGCACACTTAAGCACCACTTTAACCCACTTTGCAAAAGAATTTATAAACGATATCACTGCCCCTACTCGCCCTGCTATATTGGCTTGTTTGCTTCTAGCTGACTGACAGATTTGTGAATCTTTGACCTTTAGGATGGCCAAAAACTGACACGTTTGTCATGCACCAGTACCCCAAATTTAAATGATTAACATTCATAATCACAGGAGAGTTTGTCATCATGTTAAAACATTTTCTATCACTATTAAATCGTCACAATCCAAACGTGTAGTAGTTTGACATTTAGGGGGGGAAAATGAACATCTCTGGCTTCATGTTTGTTTGGAGTTTCTGCTTCCTGGTCAATCTGATCAGATCTGTCAGAACAAATGAGCTCTGAGCGCCACTGTGTGGATGATAAACATCCCTGCAGACAGCCCTCCTGCTCGGGCTCCACAGTGTGCAAAATTAACACTTTAGCCTGAGTATCTTTGCACTGTTGCAGTTGGCCTTGACTGATTTAGGCATAAGCCCCAGAGATCATTCTCTTTGACTCAGCATGCATCCGGATGCTTGTGATGGCTTCACTGAGCCCCACCACATGCCTGACTGCTTTCTCTCACCTCCTAATGTTAACTCAGTGGCTTATTGTTTTTTCTTTTCTGCTTATTTGCAGGAGGGAGGAGACGATTAAGTGAAGCTTGTTGTTCCCTCAGAGTCACAACAAGACACAAATGTGGCATTCTCTTCTTCTCCAAAATTATCTGGATCATTTTTTTTTTCTCACGGATTATTCTCGCAAGTGACTTCACGGTGGGAACGCACGGAGAAGGTTCAGTCTGGACATTGTGTGTATCATCCGTAGGAATGGATTTTTAAAAAAACAACATTCTTTTGTGTAGGCTTTATAAATGACCACGCTTTCTTTGTATAAAAAGCCTTGTGTATATAAATATAAATACATTGAATTTTTTGTAACTCTTAATTTCCCCTTTCTCATGCAACTTAGAACGCAAACTTGTCATCTCTGCAGTTGCAAACATTCAGCTTGCAGCTCGCTGTACAACACCACAGCCCGGAGCATTGGAATGCAACGTCTGCATGACACGGATTCATTGTGAATTTTAAATGTAATAAAATATTTATTTTTCTAATTTAAACATGTATGTGAACTTAACTTGCTCCTTTTTATATAAATTAATTATGAATAAGAAAATACGCCACTCGTCATCTTTCATTATTTCTGCACGGAGATCAAAGAACAGCGAGTACTTTGCGTCAAAATGTAAAAATCCACCCTCACTAATTACTCCACTGTACTTTATTATTCTTTCTTTTTTTTGGTGCTGAACAATGTAGGGGGAAAAAAGGCAAAGACATCGGCTTGTCCTGCCACAAAACCAATTAACTTAATAAAATGTCATAGTGATTAATGGAGGGGGTATTTATTTGGCTTGAGGCGCATTTTAACAAATTAGGCTGAAGAAGTCTGATAATCTGATTTTGTGTTGAATGCGTATTTTTTTGTGGAGAGTTAAGAGATGTTTTGAGTGAGGTCAGCTCAGCCCCTCGCTGTCGGAGGCCCTGATGCAGCCACATGCAAGCCAGCAAGAGATAAACAAATGATTATTTGTTCTGATATTTCACTGCACTAACTTGTCCTTGTGTTGGTTTTGGAGATTTTTTGTTTTTTTCTTCCTGAAGGTGAATCAATCATCTGCGCTGTCCGTGGTGCTGAAAGACTCCGCAGAGCCAAATTCCCTGCGTTTTTTTTTGTTTTTTTTTCTCGCTCTCCCCCTCATATGTGTTTGGCTTGTGGGTCCAAGTGTAACAATGACTTCACACTGAGGAGCTGTTATAACTTCGGAGCAGATTTTGGGTGTGAGAGCTGCACAGGATGGATGCGAGCTCACCCGATGTGATGGTTCACAGCTCTGAGGGCTGCGAACATGTTGTCACAAGTGAAATGTACAAAAATCACTATGTGGTGTTCTCAGAGGCTCAGATAAAGACTTGCGCATCTCAGTCCTTGACAACTAACGGCGTAATCCTGAAATCATGGAGTGACTGAATGAAGAGGTGATGTGTTTTTTTTCTCTCTCTCCCTCTCTCGCCAATGGATGATTGGCTATTTTCTCTCTCTCAAGTTACAGATCATCTCGGATGCTACACAGCGAGGCTTTGGAGGATTTGTCTTCTTTGCAGTGTGATTGCGCCAGTGCTGGCACACGAGCGCTCTTGTTTTTGTGGTGTATGGAGAACTTCTGGCGGCGTGCTTTAGTAGAGCCGGTCTGCATTGCGTCGAAACCCTCCAACTCCTCCTCCTCCTCCTGCTGCCCTCCCTCTCCGCTCCTCTCCCCTCTTCTTCTTCTTCTTCTTCTCCTCCTCTCCTCTCCCTCGCCTCCCCTGCACTCGCATGTAAAATGCACAGGAAAACATGCTTGACATTGTTGAGAAAACACTCGGACCTCGCTGCTCCACCTGACAGTCTCTCAGCTCTCCGTTTTCATGTTTTGTTTTTTTCCTCTCCGCGCTGCGCTTGAAGCACATTCTGCCCGTCATCGTGTCTAGTGGCAAAAAAAAAAAAAAAAAGCAGCAGATTTCTGCTGATGCAGTGATGTCTGGAAATGTCAAGGGCTCGCTTATTGCCCCTTAATGTATCTCCCCCCCGAACTGCAGCGCAAGATTTTCTCCTGCGGTATACTGTAAGCTGTTCACACCACCGTGCCGCCGCGCAAGCAACTACCGACGCTGCTGCAGCTTTGCGGTCTTCTCTCTTCGCTCCTTTCCCAGCTCAGGCTCTGCTCATCACACTCCTCTGACTCTCATTTTGGGTGGGTTTTTTTTTTTTATTGTTGTTGTTGTTAATTTTTCTTCCATTTTTTGCATCCTGCTTACTGACACAGTTTGGATGGAGACGACTACAGTGGGCTGTTTTTTTGTAGGTGCAATGTAAAGTTGCCACATGACACCCACTGGTGCCCTGCTGTTGGATGATTTTACTCGAGGATAAGACGCATTCAAGACCTTTCAAGATCAACCCACGGTAAGCCTGCTGATTTTTTACAACACATATCGGTTAGGTTCTGTATCATTTATTTGTAATAAATTGACAGCTTCTACTGTTTTTTTCCACATTTCGTGTAGTGCATTTTTTTTGCACATTTCAACCTCCCCCCCGCACTGGGGCCTGCAGGCTACATGCATGTAGAAACATCATCTGGGATAATATCAGTATCAAATGTTATGCGTCACATCATAATTCAGGCTGCTGAGAGTGGCGTAGGATAAATCACTGCCATGCTCCTTTAACGCACCGCAGTCCTTTGATAAAGTACTGAAATAACAAGAAGCAACTACACGCTGGGATTATGTGGAGGAATTTCGAGTGGATGTGGGGCTCAAACGACACGATGTCCAAACACGACCATCCCCAAAGTCACTACACAGACCGTTAGAAGTTGCTTATATGAGAGAAATACCACAGGATTTTCCTCACAAAGCTGCGATAGTATTCCGTTTACTACCGGATAGCTGCACTAATTGCAGGCGGGGAAGAAAGTAAATAAATAAATAAATAAATAAACTGCAGAAAATGCTGAGCCAGCAAATATCTTGGCTGTTTGATCCCATTATTTCCTCCCTCCTCCTCCCCTCCCTCTCTCTCTCTCTCTCTCTCTCTCTCTCTCTCTCCTTCTCCCTCCCTCTCTTTCTTTCTCTGGGTGACAGAAGCAGCAGCAACAACAGCTGCAGATGCGCCGGAGAGCAGCAATGGTCAAGTCAGCGAGAACCGCAGTGGAGCCGCACTGAGGCAGAGCAGCCAAGCAGCGCCCTCCTATCTGGGGACGTCTCCAACAATCTAAGGGGTGTGGGAAGCCGAGGAGTGGAAATTTTCGTTCCCCCCCTCCGATCCTGAATGCCTTCTCAGTCAGACTAACCGACATCCCAACACAAGTCCTTCTCCTCTTCTTTCTCCATCACCTCCTCCTCCTCTTTCCAAAATGACCGTGGTAGCAGGAGACAACATGGACGAGACCTCGGCCGTCCCGGGCCACCCTCAGGACACCTACCCACCAGACCACAACGACCACGAGTGCTGCGAGAGGGTGGTCATCAACATCGCCGGTTTGCGCTTCGAGACGCAGCTCAAAACTCTCTCCCAGTTTCCGGAGACATTGCTGGGAAACCCCAAGAAGCGGATGCGCTACTTTGACCCACTCAGAAATGAGTACTTCTTCGACAGAAACCGACCCAGCTTTGATGCCATCCTGTACTATTACCAGTCCGGGGGACGGCTCAGAAGACCAGTCAACGTCCCTTTGGATATGTTCTCTGAAGAGATTAAGTTCTACGAGCTGGGAGTGGACGCCATGGAGAAGTTCCGAGAGGATGAGGGCTTCATCAGGGAGGAGGAGCGTCCTCTACCTGAGAAGGAGTTCCAGCGTCAGATCTGGCTCCTCTTCGAGCATCCGGAGAGCTCAGGCACCGCCAGAGGGATCGCCATCGTGTCTGTGATGGTGATCCTCATTTCAATAGTCATCTTTTGTTTAGAGACTTTGCCCCAGCTGAAAGAGGACCCGATGGGTCGAATAGAACGAGTGGGGAACACCACCATTTATTACAAGCCAAATATCCTCACTGACCCCTTCTTTGTCATTGAGACTCTGTGTATCATCTGGTTCTCCTTTGAGCTGATAGTGCGCTTTTTGGCATGCCCGAGCAAACCGGCCTTCTTCAAGAACATGATGAACATGATCGACATCGTGGCCATCATCCCTTACTTCATCACGCTGGGCACCGAGCTGGCCGAAGACCCGGAGAGCGAGGGGGTGGGGGAGCAGGCAACATCTCTGGCCATCCTCAGGGTGATCCGTCTGGTCAGGGTGTTCAGGATCTTCAAGCTGTCACGACACTCCAAAGGACTGCAGATTTTGGGGCAGACCCTCAAAGCCAGCATGCGAGAGCTGGGATTGCTGATCTTCTTTCTGTTCATTGGAGTCATCCTGTTCTCCAGCGCTGTCTACTTTGCCGAGGCAGAGGAGCAAGGATCCTACTTTGGCAGCATCCCAGATGCGTTTTGGTGGGCTGTTGTGTCCATGACAACTGTGGGCTATGGGGACATGGTGCCGGTCACTATAGGGGGCAAGATTGTAGGATCTCTGTGCGCCATCGCCGGGGTGTTGACAATTGCTCTCCCGGTGCCTGTCATTGTGTCCAACTTCAACTACTTCTACCACCGGGAGACCGAGGGAGAAGAGCAGGCCCAGCTGCTGAATGTCAGCAACCCCAACATCCCCTCTGAAACCAACTCCAGCCGCCGTAGTTCATCTACCGTCAGCAAGTCAGAGTACATGGAGATTGATGGAGACATAAACAATAGCATCGACAATTTTAGGGAGGCAAACCTCAGAACTGGCAATTGCACTATAGCCAACCAAAACTGTGTAAATAAAAGCAAGCTGCTTACAGATGTTTAGACACTAGTTAGGAACTTTAGGATCTCTACGGGACTGTCACATGTGGAGTAGACCATCAGTTAGGAATGCTTCATTTACCTCCCCAAAGCGCTCTATGGCACTAGGCCTACAACTACGCTCAGCTATACAGAAAGGAAACAGAAAAAACAAAGCTGTTAGAGTATATGACAGGTAGATAGAATAATTAATTCTTCCGATCCTACGAATATGTAGTTATATCAAAAAGAAAACATTGATTATTACACGTATACGCGGCTCCCTCAAGGACGCAGAGCACAGCCTGTCTCATCAGACGACGGCGTGATCATTCAATTCTTATGCATGGAGTACAGATTACATTTCAGCAAGTTGCACAATGCACCAGAAACGACTGCAGACATGCAAGCATCTGCAGCCAAGTGGTAAGCGCCAAGAAGTTAGGAGACCCTCCCCACCCTCACCTCTCCTTCCTCCTCTCTCTTTCTCTCTCTTTCTTCCCCACAAAGGATCTACTACTCAGCAAAGCACCTTATAGGAGGAAGACTGATCTCTCTTGTTTGGATGTAAACAGATGGTGATCTACTTGCTTCACGGACATCTGCAATGCTGCTGTTTTCTCAGCATTTGCTGTAATTGTGTTATCACCAAGTGATTCAATGCCATGCCCTTTAGATGCAACACAGCACAATGATAAAGTGAGCTTCACACGAGCATGATTAGAGACTTTCCATTTTGATATCGGCATGCATGAGACATATCTCACACACTGGAAAGGATGTTCTTTTGGATATCTGCCTCCATTCCCCCCCCCTCATCTGTTTTCATACTGAGTGCACTGGATGAGTTTTTAATTTGAAATGCTAATCATTTAGAAGTATAGAAATTGAATGTTAAATCTTAAGGGAACAGTACATAAATGAGATCATAGCATGAAAAAAGTAACCTGCATTATGGTCTATCGACTAAGGTACTTTTGTATCCTGGTATATTTAATGCATGACGTGAGTATTCAGCTTGTTGCAATTCAGGCACTCTGCAGTGCCCTATTGTCAGGGAAACTAAGGAAGTCAAATTCTGGATGTTTCTGAATTGTGATCAAATATATCCAAACCCACCTTGAGGATGCAGAGTTTCTAATTTAAAAGTAGACAAAGAAACTGAATAAATATTATCAAAAATGCATATAATCATAATACGCACCAATTACAGTATTAGTCAATAGTGCAGTGCATGGACCTTCTTTGAACAAGAAAAGTGAACATATTTTTAGTCATGCTTCCATCTCCACGTCTAATTTTACTGCATATTGGTTTCAAATCCACTAAAAAAAAAAAGGATCAAATACCAAATTTCACGTCATATTTCGGAGGATTATTCTGACATTAGTTGCTAGTGCCTTTATCCCTTTCACCAACAGGACCAGTGAAAGTGCCTCTGTGTACAGTGGTATTTGTGTGGTTGAGCAGAGCTGGTCTACCTTCTGTTTTGGTGTTGATACACAGTCGGTTACGATGTTAAAGATGCCAGATGAGCAAGCTTGAAACAGCAGGTGACTATTGGTCAAAAAAGAAAAAAAACAAAACTAGATGATCCATGCTGTCATGCACAACCCAGTTTTCACGCTGTCACACACTTAATTAAGCCCTTAAGCAGCAATGTATTGTACTCTGCATGTTTACCATTCCAATTCAAAAAGGGAATATCCATCAAGATTTTTAGTTATGCCTGTTGTTTTTCTTTGTGCACCATGCATCCTTTCAGGGTCTCTACCTCAGTGAGGTCATTGCAAACTTGCTGCAGAGCCGCAAGCTTCAATGCAGGGCTTCCTATACCATAATGCAAAATGGAACCTTAAGTGTAAACTGCAGTCATGCAATATTGAATGTGAGAGTCCCAAAGCATAGCCTTTACATAAGCACTTAGGACAAATAGTGTACCACAATCCTGCTCCTTTTTTCACTTAAAGCTACGCACAATCAGGGCGTTCATTTGTAGAGAGTTTGTGGAGATTGCTTGACTCTCCCGACGGGATGAGGTTGACTGTGTGATGTGTTAGTTTCTTTGAAGCAGTGCCACGTTGGGTCACTGTTGTGTCACAGGAAAACACCTGAATGTGTTTAAACACATCTGTGTCGAATACAGCGGTAAAAAAATTTAAGTAGTTTTTAAATCTGTCATACTGCAGTTCTTGGGCATTGCGATGCACAGCAGAGTGCAGCCCATCTTTTTTGCACAATCATGTTATTCTGTTGCTTGAGCTATCTTTTTGCTTTTTTTTTTTTTTTTACTAGTGAGTTTCTTTTTCTGTTTCCCTGTGCTTGCTCATACGTCGTTGCATAGTTTCTCTGCATATTGTTCCAGACAGGCGAACTGCAGGTAGATTGGGACACATTGTAACGACTACTTGAAAATCTCCAGCTACTGTACATCAGTCTACACTCAGTATTGAGATGAATTCATCCAAATGATAGTAAGATTTTGTACTGTACGCTCTGTTTTCTTGTCTTTCTTTCTTTTCTTTTTCTTTTTTAGCACTCTCCTGACTAGGTCCTGTCAAAAAAAAAAAAAAAAAAAAAAAAGCTCCACTGCAGTGCTACTTGAATGTCATAGTTGTTTCTGTTGGTGCAATGGCTATTCTCTGTGGTGCTAGTACAGGACTACCATTGTTGTCTTGTTACCATAATACGTTATCTGAAAGCAGAAGCAAGACTGCGTTAATTGTTTCGGACAAGATGATTTTCCATTCAGTGATTTTTCTTACGTTATTGGTGGCTGGCCGGTTAGTTTAGGGCACCGTTTGTCATTTTATTTGGAACTGATCTTTGTACTGTACTAATGAAGAGCGTCTGCCTCAGGCAAGATAAATATGTTAGATGTCAGGAGTTCAAAATAAAATGTTGTTCAACTTGTCTAGGCTTTCTCGCACAGAGGGGCACAAGTAATACCCACTACCATATATTATAATACTATATATAGAATGACACAGAGAAATTATTGTAGTCTCCTAAACGCAGCTATCAGGAAATTGTTTGCTTTGCTCACAAAGTTTCTCGTAACACTGATTCTTGACAGTAGTGATGTGTGCATGAAATCTGACGTGAGGTGAAGAAAATACAAACGATGCCCCTCATGTTAGCAGCGCTACTCCTGCTGTGAAGGCATGGACGGATGGTGCTACGCATTCAGTTACCCAACAGAAACATGCATTCTTAACAGCAATAGAAAAAAAAAAAAACAGACAACCTGTTTCTTAGATGCTTTTTGTACAAAAAAAAATTAAAAAAATAGTAGGAAAACAAAATCTATTTTGAATGTCAGAGAAACTGCGATCACTTGACAGATACTCACAACAGGGCTGTTTAAAACTCCTTTGTTCTGGGATTTTTTCAGGTCGGCGGGGTCAAACGTAGAGGCGGACATTTTATCGAGAGAAACCTGTGAAAAACCCAAATATAGGCTTTGTAGTAGTTCCCATTAAGCACCCTGGTCGGACTGGAGTTGTTTTATTGTCAGGAACAAAGGCTGCAAAAGGGGTTCAGTCAAACCTATAACAGAGTCCCAAAGGAAGAAGAAGCCCATAATGCACTTAGAGAGGATCTATCTTCAGTTCACTGGACTGATCGGCGGTTAGAGAGAAAGTCAGAGAAGGTGCCTAAAATGTTTTACATATTCATTTGTTTTAGCTCACTGTCAGATGTTACGCTTCTGCAAACTAACACGAATAAGAAGATCTAATAAAAAAAAATAATACATGACAACATTAATCTAATTAAGAAAATAACACAAAATGTCATGAGAATAAAATGCTATTTAGCTAGAATAAGATAGAGAAAATTAACCACTATATACTAGAATTATGGAAAACAAGTTTAATGTGTGTTCTTACTTTCCTTTGTTTCTGTTTTGTTGGTTTTTTGGTGGCACTGTAACATGACTGATTTAGGAAGAACATGCCTTATACTGGAATATCAAAATAAAATGTTCCTCCAGCAAGCCATGATAATGAAACTACTGTATTATGATCACTTGCTATACACTAGATGATATGGACAAGAAGTGTACTACTATATATATAAAAAAAAAAACTAAAAAAAACAAACAAAAAAAACTACACATGGTTTGTCTTTTTTTTTTTTTTTTTGGTTTCAAGAAAAAGAAAAATACAGGATTCATTCAAAACGCCATGTTCACGTTTTTTTCCAACTCTCTGCTGCTGAACCTTCTGCTATAATGTATCTCTACAGAAACCTACTGATCGCAAAAAACTGCATGGTCGATGGAAGACTGCATGAGCTTTGCCTTTCAAACTGTGGATCAACTATAATACAGTTGCATCGTTTTAAAAAAGAAACCCTTGCTTTCATCTGCACCAAGGCTTCCTGTAAGGCCCTGTTGAGAAGTTGTCGTGAAACGTGTCCTCTGCTGGATTTCTATAAAGCACCTTAGCGCTGACCTCATCACTAAGACGGCACCGGGGTATCCGAGCCGTACTCTCCCCCGTCTTGTGCGTGATGTTCAGGTTGTGCTTGCTAGGCTCTGAATGTGAGCAAGGACATCAAGGGCTAGTTTCTTAGACTTTATCTCTGTTCTAGGACTGAAACGCTCTTTCAAGTGACATTCTGCCCATTCCTATCTCAGTCTAGACTCTAGTGATACTGTGTTGTGGGAAACATGTCCATCGTGTCTAAAACAGGGCCTGTGCCGCACACCCTCCTGTGTCCTTCACCGGTTTTGAGGCATTCTTGTTTATTAAAAGTGTGGATATTGGACTGCCTGCTGAGGAGGCACTGAACAGGACCGAATGTTGGGATGCTGTGTACCTCACTCGCCAAAGGTGACAATACATGAGAAGTACTTGTTTGTATTAGAAGTGTGATGGCTATGAGTTTGTCCTTTCTGTCAAGAATGCACGTTTAACTGCTGGTAGGGAAGCTGGGCCTTTTTGGGAGCAAAGCGCTAAAGGACTGTTGAACTCTCCTGCTCTTCTTTACATCCAACACGCAAGCCAAACTCTGATTGTGTTATCTAATCCAGCCGTCATTGTCATGTTGTGTTTACCAAGGATTATGCTACAATGTGTTCAGTTTGTCAGATGATGACAAAGGCATGGTCTGTGATCTATGCAAGGGTTATTTGTTTTTTCTTTCTCTTATATCACTTATGAGTTCATCTTACATTAACTTCAATAAATTTTTAAGGATCTGCTGGTGTACGCTCATTTCGGCTCGGGGGTTGTGGGGGGGGGGGATGTACATCTGCACTGTGGGCCTGCTGCACCAAAACTTACATAAAAGAATCCATCTGGTAAGTTGTCACAGCCCTTTCTGTGCGCAAATATGCTGCAGCGTTACAGAACCCGAGGTCTCCATCTAAATGTGTGTTACTTCTGTACTACAGTACCCTCTCACTGAAGCCATTAGCAGTGATTCATGGGGCTAAGGTAATGGTTCCACACTAATCCTCCCGTCCCAGGAGGGGACCGCTTACCTCTGTCATTCCCTGCAAGTTGTTACACACCTCAGACGCATGAAGAGCTCCTGTCTCCGCTTGCTGCCTTTTTCCTGTGTTCACGCAGACTGAGTGGGACTCTGACGCGCCAAGCATAGACATATTTAGGCTGCAATTATTGTCATTATCTATTTATTTTCTCAGTCTATGAAATTACACGTCCTTAAGCCTGAAGTGATATCATCAAATTGGTGGTTTGTCAGACTAAGATGCTGCAAAATCCTCCCGTTAAGGAAACAAGAGATTGTTTGTTATTTTGGCTCGAAAGAAATGATCAAAATATGAAATTATTACTAAAAATATTTGCTACATCAGCTGTTGAAGGTTTCTCTTCAGAATAGATTTTGCTCTCCATCCTATTGAAATTACAACCTTTTAAAACATACTCTAAAACATCTTGTTTCTTAGCATGTGATTCTGACAGCCTGTCAGATGAAACCTCATGATAAGGAGGTCTTTTAATATTAAACACACGCAGCTGTCGAGGGCAGTAACCCTAAAACAGCAGACAAACACGTCCAATCTTAGAACAGTCGGAGGCAAATCAAGCGCTGAAACTGAAATAAGTGGGTGCAGTCTCTGGGCTGTGAAAATGATTCATTCCCACTTCTGTCCTCTGACGGTGTGAAGCTGAACATTGGGCTGCAGAGGCATCACGCCGAATGCTGCAGCTCATGTGTCTCTGTCCATCTGCCTCTCTCTTGGTGTCTCTGTCCCTCTCAGTTTCTCTCGGTGTGTTTGCTGTACGGTGACCTGAACTGAGGAGAAGAGCCTCTTCTGCCTTCCTCTGCATTGCCCTCAGGAAATGCAGCACTCCTCACTCTGCAGGCAGCAGCAGTAAGGGTGGGGTGAGTTGGCGCTGGTCCCACTCTTCTTGCTCATACACTCTCTCTCTCCCTCCCTCTGTGTGTCTGTCTTTGTCTCTCGCTCTCTCCTTCTTTCTCCCTCTCATGAGTGCTGGTAAGCCCCACTGGACTGTAATAACAGAACGTATCGTACAGAAGAGGAGCTCAGCCACAGTAGAGGATTTCACACCGCTTTTGTTTGCTCTCTCTCCTCTGCTTCGTGTCTCTAATTCACTTATATAAACATACACAGGTATTGGAAGGTGCAGTGGTAATTTGAGGAAGGTCTTTTGCTGTCAGATAACAGTTTACATGCTAAGCTTTATTTGTTCTTTGTCCTCCAGCTCTATTTGTAGTGTTGTGCATTTTTTTAACCCTTTAACATCCTGTTTTTATTCCCTCTTAGGAAGCTGTAACGCTACAATAACCAACTTTTTGGTCATTTATATGTGGTAAGGCAGAGGATTGTAATCACGTAACTACAAATGGGTGACAAATCAGAGGAAAAACCAATGTAAAGTATGTTAGAAAGGCCACCATGTGCCACCAGAACAGCTTCAATGCACTTGACATTGATTCTGCAAGTCTCTGGAACTCTACTAGAGGGATTCTTTAAAAAGATATTCCCTCATTTGTTGTTTGGATGATGGTCATGGAGATCAATGTGGACCAAGTCAGTTCAAGATCTCTCATAAGCGTTCAGTTAGGCTGAGATGTGTCGATTGAGAAGGTCAGAGTCGATGATTCACATCATTTTCATATTCATGAAAATGACCTCCTGTGCCCTGGCGACACTGTCATCCTGGAAGGCGCCGTTCCCATCAGGATGGAAGCGTTTCATCATAGGACAAAGATGAACACTCTGAATGACTTTGCATTGATCTGCAATGACCCGTCCCTCTGAAGGGACAAGCGGACCCTTCAGAGGGAAGGGTCACTTCAGGGACAAGCGGACCCGGACCATGCCAGCAAAATGCCGCACACAGCGTAACAGAGCAGCCAACTTTTTCACTGTAGGGATCAAATTGTGAGGTTTTTCCATTTGTTTTCCTTGTTTTCTGTCTGTAGTTTGTTGTCATCTAGTTTCTTAAAAATCCCCAGACCGATCTTAAGAAGCAGCACTTGTACGATTTATTGCTTGTTTTTTTACATCTAATTTTAGGACTCAAAAAGCAGATTGTCATGAAACATAAAGAGGCAACTGTTGGTACCAAATAAAGAAAAGTTTCAGGGGATTTATTCAGCTAACACTGGAGACATTTATCCTAAATGTCAAATTGCTCCAGTTTTAGCCTGTTTGGCCAGACTCACTGCATGTTTTTGGATAGATCATAGCATTAAAATGTATTTTTACTGAAGGACAGTTTTAGTTCCTGTGTCGTTTATTTCTACTAAAACGTCTTTTTCCTTTTCCGACGTGGTATCCTGTTTTCATCTGCCATCTACCTTCTTTTAAAGTCTAATGATTTTACAGATTGTGTGTTTTATTTTGCTGCCCTTGTGAAGCACTTTGTATTGTGGATTTTTAAAAGTGCTTCATAAATAAAATTCAAACCGTCATTGTATTGTTGTGACGTTCTCTTCCTCAGGCACAAAACTACCATCACAGTAGTTTCTACCAAAGTCATCAAACTTCAGAAAAGAGTCACTTATAAATAGTTTCACTTGGTAAGAAATGCAAAGTGGAATGTGTTTTTTTTTTTGCAAGCATTACAAACAACAGCAAAAAATCCACTACCATGTGTTTATGGCTACAAAGGAAGATGCCACCCAATGCAACACGCTCCATGGCATAGAGGGGTAACATATAACCAACTCATTCTTAGTTTTGGTCTCCTTGTGGCAAAAAGAGAAATATACAACAGTCGCAGACTTACTCTTTAGAAAGTTATCTTAACTCTCTGTTTGTTTGAAATTTCAGATCAACAAAGGCACCCACATGCCACCCTCCACATGCAAATGAGAAACATGTAATTGAAACTGTGGTGGTGTAAGCCACTGTCCTGGTATTCCCTGATCAGCGTGTTGGACTAATTGAGATGCTGTCGGTCAGTGGTGCAGTAGGCCTCCGTTGAGCTTAACACCTCCCTCCTCTTCCCTGAAAGCTCTACGGTATCTTACAACTGCTTGAGCGCCTTTCTTTGAATTGAAAAGTCAGCTGTTAGGCAAACATGTTCTTATCAAGCGATGAGCGCTCACAGCCGTGTCTGCATGCAAATGCACCGCGGCTGTGTTTGCTCATTACTCCACTGCCTCAGTCTTTCATTGTGTTTCTCTTTCTCT